TGGGTCTTACGACGGTCTGTAGCAGTGGTTGCAGCGGCTGAACTAACCTTATCCAACTCCAGCAACATTAGGCGCTCTGGCGCAACACTTGTTACACTGGCCGGCTCAAAACTCCAGCGGTCATACCCCCCCACACAAAAGCCCGGCGTTCGGATCCCCCCTGCCTCTCCCGCCCCGTGTGCTGGTATACCCTACCTACGGACACGCTTATTAGCTGGCCAGTGGTCAGCGGTGCGGGGAAGGAATTGGGGGAGGGGAGGGGTGGGGGGGGGTTGATGGGAGGTAGGCTAAAGTATCGTGTGCTTGCGTGTTTGATTGGTCCGAATTAATTTGATTGGGTGGTCAGTTGATAAGCGTCGCTAGGCTTCTCAGCTGTGCAAATATCGATATATCTGACGTGCAGATTAGCTGTAGATGTGTAGATTCCAAGAGGTTCGATGTAAGACTAAAAACTTGGTATTTCTGGGGAGCGTATGAAAGTCTCAAGAAACCAATCACCAACCTCGGTACTTGACGTACATATACATACATACATACATACATACATACATACACACGGTTATCTGATGAGCATCTAGGAGTATTCAGAAAGTAAATAATTAAATGTAGAAGGCATCATCTCATTTGTCTATCTCGGCCTAGTTCCCAAGTTGATATTTTGTCCATATTCAGCATCCAATTAGTTGGGAAACAAATGGATATTGAAGGTGACTAAGACATGTTTGGGGTTCGGTTGGTAATTTAAAGACAGCTTTATTTAATCCTTCTAGCCATTGTGCGCCAAATCAAATTTTACAAACTCATGATTACATGACATACATACGCATAGCTTTATATCACAAAAATGTTTTTGATCGAATGTTTAAACTTAAAATCTTTTATCCAAATCCAGAGTGGCTCTTTATTGATAAAGCGTTGCTTTTTAAAGCCCCTGGTTGTATAGGATAGTTTGTATTGTGCTGTTTGCAAATCTTGATACTTTCTCAGATGGTTCATTTTGAGTTTGATGTAAATATTTTGTAAGTTGACGCATTATTGTTCATATCAGGTTCCTGAACATTGAGTCACTGTCCAACGTTCTTGACGTGGAGACACTGAAACACTCGGTGATTTATTAACAAATAATTCCCCTGAGTTGCCACCCGTACACAGCACCTACAAAAAAAAGTTTGCTTGGGAATTCAAACTTGATTTTTGGTTCGACCAGCAAATTACATGCTTTTCAATGTATCTTGGGTATACGGAAGTTATATGGTGGTTGTTATTTTTTTTTTTTGTCATATTTTCATTTCTTGAGTACTTGACATTTTCGACTTGCCTTCCCCCTAGCCTTTGCCTTGCCTGTGTGACTACTTGCTAGAACTTGAACGTTTTCAACATGGAAACCATGTAGCCAGGTTTTTGTACAGTTAGGCGCACTGGGCGGGCGGGTGCGAGTGTGTTGTCCGTTAGCCCGCGATTGGTCGCTGCCCCGCGGCGGTTGTTACCTCACGTTACGTCAGGACTAAACTGACATTCAGTTACCCGGGGCGCGTCTCATAGCTTCTCACAATCACTGGCCATTGTTGGTAGTCCTGAAGCTTTTGTTCAAGCTTGGCAAGGCTTTACATTATAGGGAATTGTGTACATTGTTTGTAATTTCATTGTCTAGTGTGTGAAATACATTCGTTTCTGGTGAAGACCATGTACTCTGTTGGAGCTAGTTCCCAGAGAAACATTTATTTTGAAATTATTTTATGATTGTAATCAAAATATAATAAGTCACTCTCAGATTTTTGTTCACAAAAAACGTACCAAACTATCGTATTGTGGCTTTTTTTCAGCAGATATTTCTATTAGGCTTTAGGGTAGAGTTAGTGTTTGGATTGAGCCAATACTTTAGCCGTGATACTAGTAAAATATATTGGATAGTCATACCAGCATCCTCTACACTTCCAATCGTGGTGTAATTTTAATTATGAAGGTAGTCAGGTGTTTTGTATTAAAATATTCCGGCAAATAGCAAACTATTTATGTAAATAAAGGTCTTTTTACACTACAAAAAATATGTGCCTAATGTCCTTCTCTAATGCTGTTAAGTTCGGGACGTTCTCAATGACTGCTGTAAACAAAGACGTCAGGCAGTACTATGAGACGGCCCCCGAGCTATTTGGCGTAATGTTGCGTGTTCATGCATGACACGAATGGGCCCAGTAATGGCCGACCAGCTTCACCTTGACCAGCGTGTTACAGTTAGCTATACCAGTGTCCAGTTTCTTTCTCCACTCCACCATCTGTCCCGTGGTCACTCGCCTTTGTCCCAGGCCTTAGTCGCATGTTTAGTGGAACTTTTTTTTTTGTAGAGCTGGACATGTTTTCAGTATACTATTTAATTAAGGGTTTGATAAATCTAGAATATACGATTTATGTTTGAATATAACAGGTTAATCTAATTTTATGACAAGATAATATTCGATTAAATGAACATTTTTTAAAAGTTTTTGTCCCCCCCACCCCCACACACATTCTCACACTTTTTTTTCAAAACATCACTGGAATATTTTGCATTAGTCTATTCTAATCCGACCTTATGCGACCCATCAGAGATTGAAAAAAAAAAGTTAAATAAGTTTTTGAACGAGGGTCCAAATGTGCCAGGACGCTCCCATCATGTGACGTCACTTCCTCCGTCACGCTCACCGTTTGATCTGTAGAAAAACGTCTGCGAGGTGCCGCATTAACACCTTGATGTCTGATACGTCTGCTGGCTTGTGCTGAAGAAAGCAACCATCCTGGGGTGGGTGTTCAACCCCCCCCCCCACACACACACACACCTACCGACAAACACACACTGATCCGCGGTGAGGCTCTTTGAAGCGGCAAGGATTGGCTTCAAAAAGATTTATTTCGGCGTTTGTCAAAGACGTCACACCCCCGCATTGGTCAGGTCTTATAATGACGTCACAAATCACCTGGCCCACAGGGGGGAGGGAGGGGGAGCATCCCGCCGTGGCACTGGTCATAAGGTGACGTAAAGGGCGCTGTCCCTTGCCTGTGGTCAGTGGAGTGAGCGACCGGTGGTCACGACGTTAAGATCTTCATTGGGATTGTCGTCTGGCACGAGCCCATCCTAGTCTGGTCAGGTGACCTCTGACGTCATGACACAGAAATTAAATTACACTTGCACTCATTTAATGAAACCTTCCCGCTTATAAATGACATGATTTTTTTCCAAATAACATTTCCGTGGAAATCTGAAGTTATTTCTTTTTTGCCGAAAACAAAAAAAAAGCGAAATAAGTACGCCCGCTATATTCTATTTAGATCACAGTTTTTGGCGAGTGCGAGAATTTTCCGATACCGGTCTTGATACCATAATTTTTTAGGCCTCAATTGTTTTTAAACTTATCTTTTAATTCTTTTAATATTTCAGCTTACATTGTTTACATTTGAAAAATCTGCACAAAAACTGGAAAAAAATTTTATGTCATGATGGATTTAGCTAATTTCCATTCTCCACATCCACCCCCTTACGAAAAAGCTAATTTCCATTCTCCACATCCACCCCCTTACGAAAATCCCCACCACCCCCTCCCTACCCCCACACACACACACGCTCACTTTACACAAGTCTTAATCATCCACCCCCACCCGTGTTTCCGACGGTGAACGGGAAAAAAGTCGCAGTTTTTGCTACGTAAAAAAGTCACAGAAAAAAGTCACAAGTATTAATTTCGATACAAATACTTATTTGTGACTTTTTTTCCTGTTTTTTTTTTCCTGTGACTTTTTTCCCTGTGTTTTTCTTTCCTACAATCGTTTCCCGCATGGAATTGAAATTAAGAAAATTACAGTTAATTTTTACCAGTGGGTATCTTTTGTCACGCAGCAGCAAGCTATGTACGGAGGTGGCGGCCATGTTAAGTCAAGTGGTTTCAACCTTTTGTGGGGCCTACGGTTGTCTTAAAACTGTAACAACCTATTCAAACGGGCCTGGACATAACTTGATTCCTGGACCAACATTGTGTCCCCCCCCCCCCCCCCCCAACTAAATGCAATTGTTCCCCAACAACCTGTTGTGAAACTAAACTAATGTAGAGTGTAGAGGGGTAGACACACACAAGTAACATATTTCGACAAACGTCCTTTTATTTCTCCAAAATACCACAAGGGGTTTTAGTTTAAGTTTATTTATAGTCCAGTGAAGCCCCCCCCCCCCCCTTTAAGCTGCACTCTGCCCTAACTTAAGTCTCACACGAACAAAACTTGACCAAAAGAAGACACTGAGATCAGTTCCGTTGATACATTAGTGGGTTAGATTAAATAGGTTTGGAAGACGTCACTTGTTTACTTCATCCTCGCAGATGTCTTGATTCAATAGGAGGGGGGGGGGGGGGAGGGTGAGAGGACGCCCCACGAGGGTGAGGCCTGGAGGGTGTTTACCGTGGGCCACTCGAGGTCCCGGGTTAATCAGTCCAGTGATAATTGTAATCAGCGGTTGGAGTAATCTCCCCTAACATTTGGGAACTTAGATACGCTAATGCTACACCAAGGGACGCAACACAATGAAGGAACAACAACTTCAAACCTTTACAATCAGATACAACCGACTTCCCTCCCCTCCCTCCGGCGCTTGTGTTTCAACTCGTGATTGGGTCTTCTATGGAAAATGTAAACACAATTCAATGCTGTTAAGTAATGTAACACGTCAACACATAAAGTAATGTAGGTAAAAGTAAGCTCATGAAGTAATGTAACAAGTCAAGTAATGTAATTAGGGCTACATTAAAGTGTTAATTCAATGCGAATATGTTTTTTATTGTATCAAATTATCTATGACTAAAGACTTTTCCTTACCAGACACCTGTAACTAGACCTTGCCTACAAGACACATGTAACTAACTGCCCTAACTTTCTCCATCTAGACATTCCGCCTACCCCTGTAACTAACTGCCCTAACTTTCTCCATCTAGACATTCCGCCTACCCCTGTAACTAACTGCCCTAACTTTCTCCATCTAGACATTCCGCCTACCCCTGGGCCTCAAGTATGACTGTCCATCTCCAACAACTTGGATGTTGGTTGCTGATTCCCTGTTTGTTGTGTTGGCTGTAGGTCTGCCCATAGCTAGGCAACACCGTAAGTAAACACATTTTGGTGTTGTGTTGTGTTTTTACAACTGTTTATACAACTGTTTCTACTGTTTCTCCTACTGTTTTTAAATCTGTTTATCCAACTGTTTCTCCAACTCTTTCTTTAGCTGTTTCTCCATCTGTTTCTACAACTGTTTTTCCATCTGTTTCTCCAACCATTTCTACAGCTGTTTCTCCAACTGTTTTTCCATCTGTTTTTCCAACTGTTTCTACAACCATTTCTACAACTGTTTTCCCAACTGTTTTCCCAACTGTTTTTCCATCTGTTTTTCCAACTGTTTTTCCAACCATTTCTACAACTGTTTTTCCATCTGTTTTTCCAACTGTTTTTCCATCTGTTTTTCCAACTGTTTTTCCAACTGTTTCTACAACCATTTCTACAACTGTTTTTCCATCTGTTTTTCCATCTGTTTTTCCAACTGTTTCTACAACCATTTCTACAGCTGTTTCTCCAACTGTTTTTCCATCTGTTTTTCCAACTGTTTCTACAACCATTTCTACAACTGTTTTCCCAACTGTTTTCCCAACTGTTTTTCCATCTGTTTTTCCAACTGTTTTTCCAACTGTTTCTACAACCATTTCTACAACTGTTTTTCCATTTGTTTTTCCAACTGTTTTTCCATCTGTTTTTCCAACTGTTTTTCCATCTGTTTTTCCAACTGTTTTTCCAACTGTTTTTCCAACTGTTTCTACAACCATTTCTACAACTGTTTTCCATCTGTTTTTCCATCTGTTTTTCCATCTGTTTTTCCATCTGTTTTTCCATCTGTTTCTCCAGGCAAAGAGTTCCAGTCCATGTGGGCGGAGCTTGCAGGTTTATTTGAAGACTTTCTCTTCTCCCCACAGTAAGACTTTCTCTTTTCTCTGTGGGGAATTGTGGGTCTTATTAAAAACGGTGGGTGTGTGGGTCTTACAAAGGCATGTGTGTCATACAAAGGTGTGTGGGTCATACAAAGGTTTGTGGGTCATACAAAGGTGTGTGGGTCATACAAAGGTTTGTGGGTCATACAAAGGTGTGTGGGTCATACAAAGGCATGTGGGTCATACAAAGGTGTGTGGGTCATACAAAGGCATGTGGGTCATACAAAGGTGTGTGGGTCATACAAAGGTTTGTGGGTCATACAAAGGTTTGTGGGTCATACAAAGGTGTGTGGGTCATACAAAGGTGTGTGGGTCATACAAAGGCATGTGTGTCATACAAAGGTGTGTGGGTCATACAAAGGTTTGTGGGTCATACAAAGGTTTGTGGGTCATACAAAGGTTTGTGGGTTATACAAAGGTTTGTGGGTCATACAAAAGGTGTGGGGTCATAAAAAAGGTGTGTGTTTTATACATGGTTGGGGGGGGGGGGCTCACTCAGGAGATATATGGGTTATCTGTAAGTGGTAGGGGTCTTACATGGTTTTGGATTAACAGATGGAGGGGAGGGAGGTCACATAGGTTATGTAATAAGATCCTAGTCATTGCGGTGTTAAGTGTATTTAGAGCATAGAGAGTATATACTCCAATAAGTATTTGTGTCCCATCATGCACCAGAAGATACATTCAGTACAGATGTTGAAAGTTGTGGTGTTTAACAAGTGATCTAATTAATTATATTATATCTATTATCTTCAACACTGGGATGTATTAAAACAGCTGTTCAATATGGTTCAATCATAGATTTGTATGTGTAAATTCAGGAATGTGCCTGTATGTTCAAGTCTGTGTATGCTGTATGTTAGCATAGTTCTATTCAGACCTATGTTTGTACAACTTTGTATAGGTTTTTGTAACTTCCTATTTTATAGTAAAGTTATTTTTGTAAATATGTATATGTTGCTGTTTGTTTCTGTGTATGTTTGTCTGAGTGTGTATGTGCTGTTGTATGTTTATGTTTGTGTGTGTATTGAGTAGTTACGTGAACACATCCCCTCCCACCCACCAGCTCCTGTCCCCCCACCCTGTCAGTTGAAGACTTTGAGAGAGACGAGTCCTTCGACTGCCGCATCGTACAACTGATCCGTGACAACATCCTTCCCCACGCATCCAGCCTGTATCCAGAGTTTATGGTGAAAATTATGGACATCCTCAATAGAGGCTCTATCCACTCCACCACGTCGGATTGTTTTGTGGGTAAGTTCATACTTCGATGATCTTCATCCAATACAGTGAAGCTTGGTTCTGGCATATAGAATCTTTATTAGCATCAGTGGCGTAGTGAGGTTGGGTGTCACCCGGTGCAGCACTTAATGGTGTCACCCCCCCCCCCCCCCCACCCCCTCAAATTTTTCTCTATATATTTTACTATTTTTTTGCCTTGGTGTCACCCCCCTAAATGGTGTCACCCGGTGCGGTCCGCACCCCCCCCCCCCTCGCTACGCCTCTGATTAGCATATATATGTATATATATATATATATATATATATATATGTATATATATATATGTATATATATATATATATATATGTATATATATATATGTATATATATATATATGTATATATATATATATGTATATATATATATATGTATATATATATATATGTATATATATATATATGTATATATATATATATGTATATATATATATATGTATATATATATATATGTATATATATATATGTATATATATATATGTATATATATATGTATATATATGTATATATATATATATATATATATATATATATATATATGTATATATATATATATATATATATATATGTATATATGTATATATATATATATATATATATATGTATATATATGTATATATATATATATATATATATATGTATATATATATATATATATATATATATATATATGCACACACATATTTACTTACTCATTATATATGCATCTATAGAGAAAGATATTTTTATTAGTATTAAGAGTCTGCATGTTTGAAACCAATCTTCTTCTAAAGTTACTTTAAATTTCTTTAAACAATCAACTTAAAAAGAGTAAAACAAATAGTATTTCAAAAAATGTGATAGCTTGGCCTATTGGATAAGCATATAACTGCTAACCTGAAGGTTTAGAGTTTGAATCTGGGTTCAAGTCCACCCAGCTGTGATAGGTGCAGGACTCACGATAATAGAATAAAAGATGGATACAACTGATGGATGCAACTGACTAGGAATATAAACCCAGAGTTTAACCCATTGACCTGATTCCCACGCCCCCCCCCCCCTCTCTGTCCTCAGCAGACACAGAATCCAGCCGCAAGTTGAGAGAAGATCTGGCCAGAACTTGTTTTGAGACGCTGCTGCAGTTCTCATTTGTCAGTGACACCATCTCAGAGCAGGGTCAGTTGACACGTCTTGCTGTCATGTCGTTGCTGCGTAGATGTCATGACGTCATCACTAAATATGTTGAGGATGAGCGACTGAGTGGAAAGTGTCCACTGCCTAGGTCAGTATGTGGCATCAACGTCCACCTTAGATTTTAAAATTTCATAGGTCAGTATGTGATATCAAAGTCCACCTTAGATTTTAAAATTTCATAGGTCAGTATGTGATATCAAAGTCCACCTTAGATTTTAAAATTTCATAGGTCAGTTTGTGGTGTTAATGTCCACCTTTGATTTCAAATTAAACTATTTTCACAATAGTTTTTAGTATAATTCTGTAAATTATTTATTTTTTTAAATTGTTCAAAGTATTCAACTTTTACATTAGTAGAATTATTATGAAATTAAATTTATAAATGGTTTATAAAATTAAATTATTTAAATTGTTTATATTAATTTTTTATGAAATAAATTTATTCAAATTATGTATATACATTGTTTAATAAATATCATGATTAATTCAAATTTTTTGAGAATTAATTTTCCAAAAAAAGCTATCATCAACCTTTTGATTTCATTGTTTAAAGGTTTATAAATGAAAAATTTAAAAAAAAAAACATTTGTGTTGATTATCTCCCTTTCAATAGAGCCAGGCTTGTAGAGATGTCCTCCGTGCTAAAAGCCATCACAACACTACTGCAGTCACTGAAGAAAGCTCCTAAAGAAAATGGTAGGCCCTAGTTAGTTTACATTGATCCATATAGATTACTGTACAGCTGGTAGGTAGATCAGTTGGTAGGCCCTAGTTTGTTTACACTGATCCATATAGATTACTGTACAGCTGGTAGGTAGATCAGTTGGTAGGCCCTAGTTTGTTTACACTGATCCATATAGATTACTGTACAGCTGGTAGGTAGATCAGTTGGTAACCTCCAGTAAACTGCCAGTAACCTCCTGTAACCTACATTAACCTCCCTGTTTTTTCTCTCCCAGTTGAACACAACGTCTGGAAGCAGGTGATCAAGTTGTACCCCGCCCTAGTTGAGTGCACCACCTCACCCTCCCCTCAGGTCAGTAACTTTGTGACCCCTTAGGTCAGTTATTTTGTGACCCCTTAGGTCAGTAATTTTGTAACATTTTGACGCCCCCCCCCACCCCTGGTAAGGCTAATCAATTATGCCCTCCCCCTCAGGTAAATTGCATCATTTTGATTTTGCCCCCCCCCCCCCCCCCCCCCCCCCCAACTTCGCCCTGACCTATTCAGTGAAAAATACAGCTCATTGCAAGATGTCAACACCTCCCTATCTACTTGATATCTATTTCACCCTAGAGTCAACCCCCCCCCCTCCCATATCTACTTAACATCTATTTCCCCCTAGATTCCCCCCCCCCCCCCATACCTACTTGACATCTATTTCACCTTAGACACACCCCGCCCCATATCTACTTGACATATATTTCACCCTAGACACACCCCGCCCCCATATCTACTTGACATCTATTTCACCCTATACTCCCACCACCCATTTAACAACTATTTAAACCTCCTCAGGTCTCTAAAGCACTGCGAGATGCCCTCCATGAGTTCTGCGACCTCCTCGCCCCACCAGGTGCCATAACCCTGACCAATGGGAACTAACTGTCGAGTCAAGTCCGTGTCTTGACAGTGTCTAGTCAAGTGCGTGTCTTGACAGTGTAAATAAAAACACTTGTGATACAATGTGTTGACCTTCGACCTGTTGTACTGGTTAAGTTGATTGTTGTACGTGTACAACATGGATGGCGTACAGCTGTACAAGTATTAAATTGTGTACCATGAATATGTCCTGTGTACAGAAATGTTGGCAGTAAGTCCTACACACTTTTCTCAGATGTTCCATGTTTTTGTTCTGAGAATGTTCTATACTTTTGTCCAAGAATTAGTTCCAAAAGTTCCAAGTTTTTGTTATGAAATTTCCTGATATATTTTGTCCCAGAATTAGTTCTGGCAATGTCACCATGTTTGTTTCATGTTTTAAAAAAAAAAAACTTCCCTTAATATTGTATGTTGTTGTTCCATAATTTGTTATTCTGATGTTGTACGACTTGTTCAGACAATATTCTTGTTCCAAATTTGTTTTGACTGTTCCATGTTCTTGTTCCAGAAATTGTTCTGACAATGTGTTACACTTTGTGTGTTGGCTAGAACCAATGTTGAACAAGACTGTTCCATATATTTGGAACAAAAAAAAATTGTTTTATTATTAAACCTGCATGGGTTAAGGTTTTACATTTTTTTTTTAATTTAAAAATTTTATTGTTGTTGAACTGATGAACTGTGTAATAAGTCCACTCACATGAACTTGTGTGTGTTTAAAATTATTTGAAAATTGCATTGCTTATATGTCATATTTGTGTGTGTATGAAAATATGTTGATCTTTATTTGTAGAATTTAATGATTTTACTCCCTTAACCAAGATTTCCCTCCCCTATTTCAAATAGTCCTCCAGCTCCCATAGATTTGGCCACCTTACGGGGAGTTGGGAGTTGGCCAACTTACAGGGAGTTGGCCACCTTACCGGTAGTTGGCCCCTAAATGAAGAGTTTCCGGCTCACCCCCCCCCCCCCCCTTTTTGAGTTCCATCTCCTATAATATAGGTTGTTACTTTCCCCCCCCCCCTCAATTGTACCCCCTTTTCATAGAGAATATATTGACACCTCCATCCCTATTTACTGGGAGAACATTATTTCTACTACTATTAAATATGTGTGAAAAGAATTATTTACCTAAGTATTGGGGTGTGATTGTGTATCTATGCTAACAGCAGCCTTATTATCATGTCATGAATAATGTGGTTGTCATGTCATGAATAATGTGGTTGTCATCGTGTCATGAATAATGTGGTTGTCATCGTGTCATGAATAATGTGGTTGTCATCATGTCATGAATAATGTGGTTGTCTGAAATAAAACTTTGGTCTTCCATTGATTGTGGTCTCAACAATCTAGACTGACACTGTGTTATGATAAAGATTCTGTCAACATACATATGAAGATTCTATCAACCAAGCCTGAGTGATTAACTATATGTTATAAAGAGATTCTTGATATACCTTGGACTGTCATGTTATTGCTAACAATTTGTTCATCATGTAGATCAGGGGTTCCCAACCTTTTTTTTTACTCTAGAGCACATTCTAAAATATCAGTAGGGTGGCGGGCACCACCTATTTTAAATCGACAAACTCCTTCCAGAGGCGTAGCGACCCTTCCCCCCCCCCTCAAACTTTCGATATGCACACCCCCCCTCAAATTTTCGATTTGCACCCCCCCCCCCCTTTCAACCTTTCAATAATGTTTATGAAAAAAAATTCTGTCTCTGTCGAATAGTGAGAGGCGAGCACATACAAATCGTTCGGCGGGCGCCATGGCGCCCGCGGGCACGGGGTTGGGAACCCCTGATGTAGATAAACAGCGTAGACTTGTGTTTATTGTTAGGGGAGGGGTAGCTCTGGGGTTTCTCTCTGTTCTCTGTTACAAGATCTTCTGATCTGAATAAAAACATTTCTGTCAGGCAAATATTTCTGTCTGGCAAATATTTCTATTATTCAGATATTTTTGTTAGTCAGAAATTTTTGTCAATCAAATATTTTTCTCTGTTGAAACCAAACATTTTTTCCAGGACATAATGTGCTAGTAGGACATTGCCTAAGTAAAATGTAGGACACTAATAATTTAGTGCTCAGACAATTAAACCAAGCAATCTACGTGTACGTGTTTTGTGGGGAGGGGTTTCTACATGTATATGTTGTGTATGACAGGGTTTCTAAATGTGACCTGACAGATGGGACAGTGACATGACATGTGAAACTGACAGTTGATAAATTTAAATGTGATGTGACAAAAATTATATTAGCCCGCTGTGGAAATATATTTGACCTGTCATAGAAATATACACAATATAATATTGTATAATATTTAATGAAGGTGAATGACCTACAGACAGGCCTAGCATAGACTTCTGTTACTGGCTGTCAAATGATGTTAACATTTGTTGTATGGTAAACAGTTATAACATTTGTTATTTGGTAACTAATATTAACTTTTTGCATTTTTTGTTTTGTTTAATGTTTTTTTTCAATTTTGTAGTTTGATTTATTTTACTGCATTATTTTATTGAATGTCATGTATTAGATTTTAATCAGATGAATTATGGGGAAAATTTGTGTGTATAAATAAATAAAAATCTGTTTATAACAATCCACATGTTGAATTAATGTTTAGGAATCTTGCATTTATTTTTGGGAACTTGTTGCATTAATGAGAATTAGAAAAAACATTTTGTAGCTTTAATGTTCAAGAGTGTGATAAAATAATCAGTTGCCTTACATTGGGTTGGGGGGGGGGGGGTACTCACCAGGTGGGACCATTTATGGGGTGACACCAAATTTAAAATAACAGTCAAAACAAGGGTATATCCAATTAAATTTTTTAAATAGGGGAGAGGGGTGACACCAAACCAAAATTGTTGAGTGACAATTGCAGTAGGACGCAATGGGAGCAGGACATAGCTGTAATAGGACATGATTGGAGCAGGACATAGCTGTAATAGGACATGATTGGAGCAGGACATAGCTGTAATAGGACATGATTGGAGCAGGACATAGCTGTAATAGGACATGATTGGAGCAGGACATAGCTGTAATAGGACATGATTGGAGCAGGACATAGCTGTAATAGGACATGATTGGAGCAGGACATAGCTGTAATAGGACATGATTGGAGCAGGACATAGCTGTAATAGGACATGATTGGAGCAGGACATAGCTGTAATAGGACATGATTGGAGCAGGACAAAGCTGTAATAGGACATAATTGGAGCAGGACATAGCTGTAATAGGACATGATTGGAGCAGGACATAGCTGTTATAGGACATGATTGAAGCAGAACATAGCTGTAATAGGGCATGATTGGAGCAGGACATAGCTGTAATAGGACATGATTGAAGCAGGACATAGCTGTAAAAGGACATGATTGGAGCAGGACATAGCTGTAATAGGACATGATTGGAGCAGGACATAGCTGTAATAGGACATGATTGGAGCAGGACATAGCTGTAATAGGACACGATTGGAGCAGGACATAGCTGTAATAGGACATGATTGGAGCAGGACATAGTTGTAATAGGACATGATTGGAGCAGGACATAGCTGTAATAGGACACGATTGGAGCAGGACATAGTTGTAATAGGACATGATTGAAGCAGGACATAGCTGTAATAGGACATGATTGGAGCAGGACATAGCTGTAACAGGACATAGTTGTAATAGGACATGATTGAAGCAGGACATAGCTGTAATCGGACATGATTGGAGCAGGACATAGCTGTAATAGGACACGATTGGAGCAGGACATAGTTGTAATAGGACATGATTGAAGCAGGACATAGCTGTAATAGGACATGATTGGAGCAGGACTTAGCTGTAATAGGACACGATTGGAGCAGGACATAGCTGTAATAGGACATGATTGAAGAAGGCCATGACTGAAGTCATCTAAACCTAAAGGATTAATTGGCAGGACTTTTTATTGACGGTAAAAATAAAATTGAAAACAAATTCAACAAGACAGAACTACAATGAAAGCTGGTTTTAAAAAAAAAAACGTGAGGTAACATTATATGACACTTGTTTTTTTTATTTTATTTTTCTAATTTTTTTTTTTTTTTTGTAGCCAAGAAGATCGTGTTGGCGTCATTTGTTTAACTCCACTTGAGAACAAATTAGATTTATTATGACAAGCCACTTGTTCAGATTAAAAGTGCGTTTAGCTGAGTATTATATTTTTTATGGTTTTCATTTTTGGACGACTTTTTAAGACCATGTAATTTTTTTTATGACGATCTTTCCACAAGGGAAATAACTTTTAATTAATATCAAATGCTTTGAATATGAGTTGCTTCCCTTTGATAAATAACTAATTCTTCCCCTTCGCAACACTGAACCTTTTATTTAAAATTAATGCTATGGCGTGGCATTGTAAGGTATATGGGAGAAGACTGCAGATATGGTTTCACAATGGTCGCATCAACAAAAGCAGGCGGTCCAGAGAGTTGTTGTGGAACCATTCAACCATTCACTCACGACAAGCTTTAGAAATTAGAGCGTCACGCTTGATTGATTCCACATGAATGCTGGCAGCGTATCACCAGAGAAATCTGACGTCATGCTGTAGCTGCGAAAGATCAAGCCGGCTGGAACTATGAACCCAGCTCACGATTGATGCAGGAATCTCTTGCAACCTGCCGGTTAAACCAGATTAAATTTTAATGTCCGCTTTGTTAATCTACTAGTCAAGATCTTGAAATCTACTTGATCTTTAAGAACAAAAGGTCGAAGATATCTAAAATAAAAGGTAAAGATATTTATGTTTAAAAGCCAAGATCTTTTAATGTATTAATCAATCTTTAAGAACAAAGGACGAAGGTGCCAAATAATTTGAAGATCTTTATAATTATAAATCAAGATTTTTTTTTTAATCTGAAGGCTTAGATCATTAAATCTACACTTTAAAACAAAGGAGAGCTGTGGTGATCTTTAAATATACACACAAAGATTTATATTCAGAGGACTAGATCTTTAAATATAAAAGCCAAGATATTTATATTCAGAGAACAAGATCTTTAAAT